GCTTCTTCTGTGAAATGGTTGCAATACTAGATCTTGCACATAATTCCGATAAATGTTTTGGGAGAGAGGATGGTGGTTTTCATGCCTCTAGTTTTATTTTTTAAGATTTATTTATTTATTTACAAGGTAGAGTTACAGAGAGAGAGAGGAAAGACACAGAGAGAGATCTTCCATCTGCTGGTTCATTCCCCAAATGGCTGCAGTGGACAGAGCTGGGCCAGTCAGGAGCCAGGAGCTTCATCTGGGTGTCCCACGTTGGGTGCTGAGGCATAAGTACTTGGGCCATCTTCCACTGCTTTCCCAGGCACATTAGCAGGGAGCTGGATTGGAAGTGAGGCAGCCAGGACTTGAACCAGTGCCTATATGGGGTGGTGGCACCACAGTGCTGGCTCCATGCCTCTAGTTTGGACCTTGAATCACACTGTCAGAGGTAGGTAGACAGGACTGAGGCTAGAAAGAGCAACATCTTGCCCAAGGTAATGCAGTACTTCCAGGTTAGAGCTGAGTGTGCAGGATCCTAAGTTGATGCAGAGAAAAGAGACATCTACATGCAATATGTGGAGCCAGTCCTGATTAACAATAGTGAGGAGGAGGAGGTGAGGGAAAAGCAGCAGGGACAAAGGCCCTGCAGTGGGCTAAGAGTTCAGACTAGCAAGAGGATCACAGCCAGTGTGAGAGACAGTTAGCCTAGTTTCCCTTGCCCACCTGCCTGCCCTATGAGGGTTCTTCAAAGAGTCTGTGGAAAACAGAATTAAAAGATAAGTTTAGGAGCTGGTATTGTGGCCCAGCAAGTTATCACACTGCCTGCGACACCATTATCAGAGTGCTGGTTTGAGTTCTGTCTGTCTGTTTCTGATCCAACTCCCTGCTAATGGCCTGGGAAAATGACAGAAGGTGAACCTAGTGCTTGGGCCCCTGCCACCCATGTGGGAGACCCACTTGGAGTTCCAGGCTCCTGGCTTTAGCCTGGCCCAGCCTTGGCTATTGCAACCATTTGGGGAGTGAACCAGAGCATGGGCGGACTCTCTCTCTCTCTCTCTTTCTTTCTGTCTGTCTCTCTGTCTCGCTGGTCTCTCCCCCTCTCTGTCACTCTTTCAAGTAAATAAAACCTAAACATATAAATAAAAGCAGAGCTTATTTTGGTGCAGGCAGTGTTGAAGTCCATGCTTACTCGTAGCTCACAACATGACTCCCTCAATGCTCTCTCGAGGGCCTCATCTACAGCATTGGGCTGATCATGCCACAGGAGCTGTCCAGCGGAAGTAGCCTTTGCAGGATCCCTGGATAGCATCTAGCATTGAAGCAGGTCTCTGGAGTCTGCATTTCTTATTGCCCATCCCTGATTCCTCTCTGCTGCCCCCATTCCCAACTGCCCAGCCCCTCAGCCCGGTATTTGAAGTTCCTCTTTGCCCACCCAATCAAAAAGGGCCATTGGTCTTCAGGGAAACTCGGAGGACCCAATTAGGGGATTCTAATATGAGGAGTCTTCAAAAGGTTCATGGAAAAATGTGTATTATGGAAAAAAGTATGCATATATTTCTATCAGTTTTTGCATCACAATAAACTTTGGTTTATTTATTTATTTTGACAGGCAGAGTAGATAGAGAGAGAGACAGAGAGAAAGGTCTTCCTTTTTCTGTTGGTTCACCCTCCAATGGCCACTGCAGCCGGCACGCTGTGGCCAGCAGACCACACTGATCCGAAGCCAGGAGCCAGGTACTTCCTCCTGGTCTCCCATGCGGGTGCAGGGCCCAAGCACTTGGGCCAGCCTCCACTGCATTCCCGGGCCACAGCAGAGAACTGGCCTGGAAGAGGAGCAACCAGGACAGAAACCGGCACCCTGACTGGGACTAGAACCCAGGATGCCAGCGCCAGAGGCAGAGGATTAGCCTATTGAGCCATGGCGCCGGCCTATTTTTTAAAGATTTATTTATTTATTTGAAAGTCAGAGTTACAGATAGGGGGCGTCTTCCATCCGAAGCCAGGAGCCAGGAGCTTCCTCTGGGTCTCCCACGCGGGTGCAGGGGCCCAAGGACTTGGGCCATCTTCTACTGCTTTCGCGGGCCATAGCAGAGAGTTGGATTGGAAGTGGAGCAGGGGCCAGCACTGTGGTGCAGTGGGTTAAAGCCCTGGCCTGAAGCACCAGCATCCCATTATGGGTTGCTCCTCTTCCAATCTAGCTCTCTGCTGTGGCCAGGGAAAGCAGTAGAAGATGACCCAAGTCCTTGGGCCCCTGCACCTGTGTGGGAGACCCAGAAGAAGCTCCTGGCTCCTGGCTTCGGATCGGTGCAGCTCTGGCTGTTGCAGCCATCTGGGGAGTGAACCAGTGGATGGAAGACCTCTCTCTCTCTCTCTCTCTGCCTCTGCCTCTCTGTGTAACTCTTACTTTCAAATAAAATAAATAAATCTTTTAAAAAAAGAAAAAGGAAGTGGAGCAGCTGCGTCTCAAACCAGCACCCATATGGGATGCCGGTGCTTCAGGCCAGGGTGTTCACCTGCTGCACCACAGTGCCAGCCCCCTACAATAAACTTTGGATTCCACTTTCCCCCAACTTTCTGGAGTGCCTTCTCATTTCCTGGGCTGAGGCATGGAAAGAGAGGAAGTTCTCTATTCCCTGTGCTCTCCTCTCACTCCTCAATATGAGGAGTAAGATATGAGGCTCACCTCCAAAGGGGAAGACTATTCTAGAAGGTCTGTAAAATCACATTGAGCTGCAAAATACAGTCTCTGCTGAAGGCTAGAGAAACATGCCCCATTTTCTGGGATCTTAAACAGAATCCAGGAGGAAACTGAGGAGTCCTGAGCCCAGTGTAACCCAGGACCTGCTGCCATGCCGCAACTACTAGTCTTCATCATCCTGCATAGCCTGCTCCAACACCTCTGCTTCACAGTGCCCTCCTCTTGCGTGTGAGCTTCCCAGGATTCCCTGGGGCCAGGCCTTTAAAGTGCCACCCTCTACTGTGAACAGAATATTAGCAGGAACAAAATTAGATTCAGGAATGCTGCTCCTTCTGTCTAATATTTATTTATTTGAAAGGCAGAGACAGAGAGAGATCTTTCATCTGATGATTCACTCTCCAAATCACTACAACAGCCAGGTCTGGGCCAGCCTGAAGCAAGAAGCCAGGAACTCCCATCTTTCACTTCCACATGGGTGGCAGGGGCCAAAGTACTTGGGCCATTATCATTGCCTTCCCTGGCACATTAGCAGGGAGCTGGATTGGAAGTGGAGCAGCAGGGACTTGAACCAGCACTCTGATACAGGGTGAACCAGCTATACCACACCACTGGCTCCTGTCCTCCTTCTTAAGTGACCAAAAGGGCCAGCACTGGCTCCCTCAATTGGAGTGCAGAGGATGACTGGGGAGGAATCCTGTTTTCATTCATTAAACACCTATTGAGCACCTACTGTGTGCCCCATACTGCACTGCAATATAGGGATACAGCAAAGAAATGGGATAGGCCAAGTCTGTTCTCTTAGAGCCCAGAATTCAAAACAAGTATTCTTAATATTTTTGGTGCTATGGACCTGTTTGGTGATTTAGTGAACCCTATGCCCTTTGCTCAGAAAAAAATCATTTAAATAGATAAAATAATATACCTCGAATTACACTTATTTATTTTTAAAGATTTATTTTATTTATTTGAAAGACAGAGTTACAGAGAGAGGTAGAGACAGAGAGAGAGGTCTTCCATCCACTGGTTCACTCCCTAAATAACCACAGTGGCCGAAGCTGCACCGATCCAAAGCCAGGAGCCAGGAGCTTCTTCTGGGTCTCCCACGTGAGTACAGGAGTCCAAGCACTTGGGCCAGCTTCTACTGCTTTCCCAGGCCAGAGCAGAGAGCTGGATCAGAAGTAGAGCAGCCAGGACTTGAACTGGTGCCCATACAGGATGCCAGCATTCCAGGCGGTGCTTTAACCCGCTGTGCCACAGCGTCGGCTACACTAGAATAACATCTAAATATGAATATCAAAATATGGGAAAATCAACTATGTGCTACAGTAATGCATGTAATTAATGTCCTTATTAATCCATTAAATAATAAGATCTAATGGAGGATGTAATGACTATCATGATTTTATAACAGTGATGAGTTTATACAACATTTCAAGAGGTCTATACTATAAGGTGATACGAAAACCTGTGATTTCTATTGGTGACAGTCACTGATACTGTTACTATGGTTACATTATTTTATACAAAAAATGCTAAATTTCAAGGCTGGCATTGTGGTGCAGCAGACTAAGCCACAGCTTGCAATGTTGGCATCCTGTATCAACCCTGGTCCCTGCTGCTCCACTTCTGATCCAGGTCCCTGCTAATGGGCCTGGGGATAGCAGAAGAGGATGGCCCAAGTCCTTGGGCCCCTGCACCCATGTGGGAGAGCTGGATGGACTCCCAGGCTTCTGGCTTCAGCCTGTCCCAGCCTAGGCCATTGCAGCTACTTGTGGAGTGAGTCAGTGAATGGAAGGTCTCTCTGTAGCCCTGCCTTTCAAATAAACAAAACTAAGTCTTTTAAAAATGCTAAATTTCAATTCGTGAAGAGAGAGAAAATAAAGATGTAGATATTTTCACATCCAGTGTCATGGACCCCTCCAAATCCTGACTCGGTTAGAAATCTATAGAATCCAAATTTTAAAACTTGCTAATAGGAGACTTTTTAGTCTGTCTTTCCTTGTTAAACAGCTTTCCTTTGGAAAACAGAAGCCTGGGTTTTATTCTGGGTCTTATTGCTGTGTGACTTCAAGCCAATCAGTTTGCCTTTCTGGGCCATGCATAGTCCCTCTGCCTGAATGTTGGGAAAGGCAATTATTGGGCGAGACGAGTTTAATTATTCGTGCCCCTGGTAATTAATTTATCTTCTCCCATTGAATCCTCACTACGTTGGGAGAAAAAAATAGGATCTTTCCATTTCACAGAGGGTTAAGCTGAGGCTCCTAGCGAGCTTGTCACTTGACTAAATATCTCAGTAAATAGCTGGGGTTGGTGGATAACCGCCATTTCCCCGTAACCACCTAATACTTTCTGGATGAAATTAGGAACTCTGCCCACTTTAAACCAAAGAAACCTGGCTCGGAAATTCCAGCAGGGGGCGCAGCCTTCGGTAACGGGGCCAAGTTGCGTCTCTTTGCAAAGCGGTGAAAGCGCGAGGTGGATGACCAAGCGTAAGACGTCAGGAAACTTGAGATCGCTAACGGTTTCCTACCTCGACTCGGGCCGGGCTTCGGTTCAGGCTTCGCGCCTGCGTGTTCCCAACGAATCCTGGAAGCCCAGTCGAGCAGACCTGCAAAGGGCAGTGATGAATGCTCCTGTCCTGGCCAATCCCATGAAAGGGTGGGCTTGGCTCGTAAACCAATCAAAGTCCCCCGAAGGGGCGGAGTTTTCTTGGGCTTGGATCCCGGCCTGAGGGGTAAAAATAAAGTGTTTCCATCTCCAGCCAATCGCAGGGAAGGCAGGAGGGCACTCCTCCAATGGGAGCCGGGGAGCCGTCGGTAGCAGTGGCGGCCTGTGACCCGGTTCGCACTCCAGCCGGCCAGAGGGACGCGGCTAGTGTATACGGCAGGTCCTGCTGCCGACCCTTGGTGTCTGTTGGAGCGCGGCAGGGCGTCTAAGGCCGGAGGTGTCTGGTGAGAAGCCAGAAAGACAGGTGCGGGGCAGGTGGGAGAAGAGGCCGGGCCAGAGTGCATGAGGGGTGGGGCCTGGGCGAGCTTTTACCCGGACGGCCTCTCAACCGTAGGTCAGCGGGTTGCAGAGAATTCATTCGGGTAGGAAAGGGTGGGCGAGTGCTCCCGCGGCCCCCAGACGGCAACCAGGTGAGTAACACCTGTGCCCGATCTCCGCGGCCCCCACCCCCGGTCTCTAGGAAAAAATTCTGTGCGGGTCCTGTCGCTCACGTGGTTCTCTGCGTCCGTGTCTGTCTCCGTTTCTCCCACCACCAACATTAGCACGGTCTCTGTCTCTTTCTGTCCGTTTACCTCTCTGAGACATAGTAGACCACCCAGACCTAGCAGACTGGATCTTGACCCGACCTTGAACCATATGTTTCATCACCTGACTCAGTTTTCTCATCTGTTGAATGGGAGTGTAGTAATCTCTACCTGAGACAGTCCTATACATCACGTTGCCCAGCCCCTGGCCCCTAGGAATGTTTAAATAAATGATGACAGTCGTGATTGAAAAGCAAATGTCTTTCTTGGTCTCTGTTTTCTCCCTGTCTCCTGTTGAGTCTTCCTTCTCAGGGCTCTTTCTGTTACTGTTTTTCTTCTTTCTCCTGTCTCTTCCCATCCCTGAAGAGGGTAGAAGTGCACTGTTCGTAGCCATGAACTTGGCTTCAGGACACCTATGAGCTAAGCCTGGGGCTCTGAACTATCGTGTGGATAAAAATACAAAGCCTGGTCTTGGGCTGCTTCTGGTCTGGTTGAGGAGAGAACCCTGTTTGTATCCCAGCATCCTCTGTTAAACATGTAGAGACACCTTGAGTGGGGAGAGACACTTAGAGATTAAAAAACCCCTTTATAATGGCCGTTTATCCTATGTAGTGCTACTTGCCACAAGGAGTCCAGGAATCCCCACATTTTCTCTCCACACAGCCCTGCCGGTCTTTTTGTCCCCTACCTACAGTCCTTCTAGAACTCACTTTTGGTCAGCAGCAAAAATCACCTCCATTCTCATCCTGGCTTCTGAATACTTCCTTCAAAATTTTCTTGCCATGCCTTGATAGGTCCCAAGCATATTGGACCCAGCAGCCCATTTTTATAATGAGTGTTTTTGTAATGTCCCATGTTCTATGTGTTTCTGCACTGAAACACATAGAACATGGAACCTATCTATATATGTAACTCTCTGAAAACCAATATGGTGCCGTCATTGAACTATACGGGACAAGGAAAAGAAGACTGATTTATAAAACAGTGCATATTTCTTGCATATTTCAATACGTAAAAGCTGGGATATGCCTCCATGGGAAGCTACAATGAAATGGTCTTGCATATAGTGAAACTTGCACATGTGTGTTGATTGGTGATTCAGAAGCCACAAGCGGGGTGGTGCAGTTTTCATAACTGATGTACAAGTCTTCGTGAAGTTCTAAACAAAACAGCGTGCCATCTTCCCTCAATTTATATGGTTGTTGCATTTCTAGAAAAGCTAGTGTATATTAAGATCCCTGAGCTCCCCTGCCCACACACACAGACCAACCTTCTCTCATACTGCTCCCCCCACCCCCCGTCACCCTGTTCCCTCCGTGCTGTCTTCCTTAATGTTCCTTGAACACATACTGCACACTTCCCACCTTCAGTTTGGTACTGGGCCTTCAATGCTCCCTCCCTGACTGTGCACAAAGCTCCGACCCTCACTTCCTTCAGGCTTCTACTCAGATGCTCTTTACTCAATGAAAGCCACCCTGACCATCTTGTTTAAAATTGCAGCGCTCTCTTAGTTCTGTTTTTTTTTTTTTCCCAGAGTGTTCTGGACCTGCTTGCATAATATATAACTTAACCTCTCTATTGTGTTTGGTTTTTATGACATGATTCTACCACTCAGTGGTAAGCCCAGAAGGGCAAGAATTTTTTTTTTTGTCTTGTCCTCTGATGTTCTCCCCATTACCTAAAGCAGAGTTGGATACACAGTAGGCTCTCCTGCTAAATGTTTGTCAAATGACTACATGAAGGGACCAACTTGTGTGAGTGTCTGGTGGGATACTCTAAAGAAATATGGGATGCAGTAAAATGCTTTGGCATGTGGAGGGAGCTGCCTCGTGCACTACTGAATGCCCACTAAATGTCACCCATAGTCTTGAATTATTGTGACGATCAGAAGTTCCCCCAAACATCCCTTGATTCCCACCTCGGCCAAGAACCACCGCACAGATGGCAGTCTGGCATTTGCCTGGATACACCATTACCCAGCTCCACCCTCATATCCCTCTGACCAGGAGACATGGGTCCTTGCTTCTGATTGCACTTTCTACACATCTCTGTCTCCCTCCTCCTTAAACAACCCTTTTTGACTGTTTGTTTCCCTGTAGAGTTTTAAGCGTTTTTTTACTTTTAAGGAATTTCTGGCTTTAAAAAAGATTGTAACACTGTACAAATTAAAGTATTCCCATATATCCTCACTCAGATCTACCAAATGTTAATGCATTATAGAACTGCAGCATAAGTATCCAATAGAGAATTCACCTTGGGGTAATAATACTGGGACCAGAAGCATAGACTGCGTTTAGATTTTTGTCAGTTTCTCCACTAATACTATTTTTCTTTTCTAGGGTCCTGTGCAGGATCCCACATTGCATTTGGTCATCATGACCCCTAAAGCATTCTAATTTGAACCAGTTCTTTAAGTCTTTCTCTGTCTTTCACAACTTCGATGCTTCCGAATAGCCATGGTAGTTATTGCATAGAATTTTGGATTGTCTGCAGGTGATTGTGTAATTTTGGCAAAGCATACCACAGAAGAGATGTTGTGTCTTCAGTGTGTCATATCAGGATGCACACCATGTCATTGTGTTCCAACACGGGTTGCTTTCATTTTGACAGCTTGTTGAAGCTGATGCCTGCCAGATTTCCTCACTCTGGCTATTGGCACATACTGCACCACCACGGGTTGGTCAACAAGAGATCACATACACAACAGCGGTCCTGTAAGATTATATCACCTGTGACACTCTCTCCATTTGCATTTAAGTACCCTCTGTGATGTTCAAGCAATGACAGAATCACCTAAAAACGCGTTTCTCAGGACATATCCCCCATGGTGAAGTGACGTGTGACTGTACTCTTTTGCCTGTGTAATTCCTAAGTGATTTATGGTGAGATGTTCTGAGGTGATGTAAATATCAGCTACCTTGTTTTAAATCTCATATCATCAGATTATACCAGCAAACCCGCCCCCACTCTGTGTCAGAGTCACATACAGGCACGCACACCCGCCTCCCCAGCCCTTGCTGTTCCTCATTCCTAGAGGAATTTAACTATGAGTTTACTGTCTCGAACTCTGTTCCAGTCCTAATTCTTGATGATTTTAATATCCTCTTAGGTGATCCTGCCCACGTTCTGTGATCCACTCTCCTGCAAAGACTCTGCCTTTCAACCCCACCTGAGCCGCCTGCTCCAATGGTATTATCCTTCTTGTCATTGCCTATGACTGCATTGTCACCTCAATCTCAGTTTCTGACATCCTGCCATCCACCCAGCACCTCCTACCCTCCCAGATCACTCCCTCTGCTAACTCCTTCAATCCCACCGGGATGGGACATTTCTACTACCCTTCACTTTAATCCGGATAGGTCCCAGGGCTTGTCACAGTCCTCCCCTTGCATACACCTTCATCATCCTGACCCCTCTGTCTCTCCAGCATAGTTGCCAGGGGAGACCCCAGCCCTGATTAAATCCAGCTCTTTTCCTGCTTTGCCCCGTTTCCCCAGGCCACATGCTCTCCTACCTCCAAAGTGATTATTTCACACCTCCTTTCTTATTTTATTTTATTTTATTTTATTTTATTTTATTTTTTGGACAGGCAGAGTTAGACAGTGAGAGAGAGAGAGAGAGAGACAGAGACAGAAAGAAAGGTCTTCCTTTTCCGTTGGTTCACCCCCCAATGGCCACTGTGGCCGGTGTACCTTGCTGATCCGAAGGCAGGAGCCAGGTGCTTCTCCTGGTCTCCCATGCGGGTGCAGGGCCCAAGCACTTGGGCCATCCTCCACTGCACTCCCGGGCCACAGCAGAGAGCTGGACTTCACACCTTCTTTCTTTTCATATTTCTAATACCTCATCTGCCATCCTTATACTCTGGTTCTCTACTTGACTAAAAAAGTGAAACTATCCAAAGAAAGCATCCATAGAACACACGCACACACACACACACACACACACACACACACCCAGTAGTTGTACTCACATACTCTTCCTTCTTCTCTGCTGTTCCAGATAAACCATTCCTGCTGTCATCAAAATCCAGTCCCTCTCCTTTGGCACCAGATCTCATCCTCTCTTACCTACCTGAGGACATTGCCCTCCCACTTTTCCCTCCTCTCTCCTGCATCGGCCATTTCCCCCTCTACAAGATCGTTCTCATTAGCACATAGACGTTCTGTTATTGCATCTGTGTTTTTGTTATGCTTTTAAAGGCTGTTTGTTCCGTGGTTTGTCGCCTACCATGAAGTTGTGCAGTCATCACCATGAATAGATTTAGTGCAGTTTCATCCCCCTGTGTCAAAGAAGCTCCTTCCTCTTCAGCAGTCACTTGCATTATTTGCCCTTCTTCCTAGCCCTGGGAAACCACTAATTATTTTTTTGCTGTCTCTCTAGATTGGCCTATTCTAGACATTTCATAGATATGAGATCATAACAGCCTGTTAGTCTTTATGACTGGCTGCTTTCACTTTGCATGATTTTTTGAGGTTCATCCACATTGTTGGAAATATCATTTCTTCCTATTGCCAAATACCACTCCATTGTGTATTGTGTATCGAACATTTTGTTTACTCATTTGTGAGTAGATGGACATTTCAGTTGTTTCCATGTTTCACTACCATGAATAATACAATAATTTCTCTGAAAAATTCTATTCATGTTTTTGTATGGGTAAGTGTGTTATTTTCTCTAGGGTATAATTGTATCTATTTTTTTTTTTAAAGATTTACTTATTTACTTGAGAGGCAGAGTTTCAGAGAGGGAGGGAGAGAGAAAGAGAGAGAGGTTTTCCACGTGCTGGCTCACTCCCAAAATGGCTGTAATGGTTGGAGCTGGGCTGATCCAAAGCCAGGAACCAGGAGCTTCTTCTGGGTCTCCCATGCGGGTGCAGGGGCCCAAGGACTTCGGCCATCTTCTACTGCTTTCCCAGGCCATCAGCAGGGAGCTGGATTGGAAATGGAGCAATCAACTCTAACCAGCATCCATATGGGATGTCAGTGCCACATACCAGCCCCTTTATGTTTAACTTTTTGAGGAACTACTAAACCATTTGCAAAAGGTGACTGGAGAGTTTTACATTCCCACCAGTAGTGTATAAGGGTACTTCCAACAGTTCATGGAAAAAGCATATTATGAAAAATCTATGCATGAACTGCAAAACATCTTATACCAAAGTAAACTTTCCTCTTAATTCCAATTTCCATGAACTGTTGGAAGTACCCTTATATGGGGGTTCCAGTTTCTCCACATCGTCACCAACATGCTTTATTTTCTATCTGTTTGATTATAGCCATCCTACTGAATACAAGATAGTATCTCCTTATAGTTTTGATTTTCATTTCTCTAATATCTAATGATGCTAAGTGTCCTTTTATGTGTTTATTGGCAATTTGTATATCCTCTTTGGAAAAATATCTATTCAAATCCTTAGTCCATTTTTAAAATTTATTATTTATTCATTCCAGAGAGACAGACACACCCAGAAAGAACTGGCTCTCATTTGCTGATTGATTTCCCAAAAGCTCACAACTGTGGTCGAGAGCCAAAACTCAATCCAGGGCTCCCACATGGGTGTGAGGAACTCAGTTTCTTGAGTCATCACTGCTGTTTCCCAGGTCTGCGTTAGCAAGAAGCTGCAGTCAGGAGCTGGAAGTGGGCAGACACCTTTCCCCCTTAGCCCAGTTTCAATGGAATTATTTCTATTTTTATTATTGAACTGTAAAAGTTCTTTATATATCTGGGTACAGGCCCCTTGTCAGATACATGGATTGCAAATATTTGAAGTCCAATTTATTTATTTTTTTCTTTTGTCGTGTGGGTTTTTGAAGTTGTATCCAAGTAACCGTTGCCTAACTCAAGGCCAGAAAAATTTTTTCCTGTTTTCTTCTTGGAATTTTATTGGTTTAGCCCTTACATTTGGGTCAGTGATCCATTTGGAATTAGCTTTATGGTGTGAGGTAGTGGTCTGTGTTGGTCTGTTCTGTGGCTACAACAGAATACCTGAGGCTGAGTAATTTCTGAAGAAAACTGATTTATTACAGTTCTGGAGGAGGAGATGTCCAACATCGAGGGGCCGCTTCTGGTAAGGACCTTCTTGCTACATCATAACATGGCCAGAAAGTAGCGGTTGGCAAATTCAAACCTCTCCTCTCATTATTGAAGCCACTAATCCCATCATGGAGACCCCCCACTCATGATAGCATCTAATCTGCATAACCTCCCCAAAGTCCTGTCTTCAAATACCAGTAACATATGAATTTAAGGTTTAAGTTTCTAACACATGAACTTTTGGGAGATACATTCAAACCATAGCAGAGTCCAGGTTCTCTAGTTCTCCTAGTATCTAGTTCTCCCAGTACCTTTCACTGAAAAAAGTATTCCCTATTGGATTGTCTTGGCAACCTTGTCAAAACTCATCTTATTGTAAATTATAAATGTTAATTTCTGGACCCTCAATTCTCTACAGTTGATCGGTATGTCTGTCTCTATCCCAGATTATACCAAAAACAATAAAAAAAACAGATTTATTGATTTATTGATTGATTTGAAAGGCAGAAATAGAAAGAGAGAGAGAGAGAGAGTAAGAGAGAGAGAGAAAGATCGATCTTCCATCTGCTGGTTCACTTCCCAAATGATCACAACAGCTAGGGTTGTGCCAGGCCGGAGCCAGGAGCTTCCTTCAGGTCTCCCATGTGGGTGCAGTAGCCCAAGGACTTGAGTCATCTTCTGCTGCTTTCCCAGGCCATTAGCAGGGGAAGTGGAGCAGCCAGCTCATATGGGATGCCAGCATCACAGATGGCTTAACCCACTATGCCATAACCCAAGCCCCATATAGTATATTTTAAGATCAGGAAGTGGGAGTCCTGTAACTTTATTATTCTTTTTCAAGATTTTTCTGGCTATTTTAAGTCCCTTGCATTTTCACATAAATTTTAGGATCAGCTTATCAATTTCTTTTAAAAAAAGCTTGAATTTTTTTTTTTATTTGAAAGCATTCTAAAGAGAGAGAGAGATATCTTCAGCCTCCTGGTTCACTCCCTGAAGGGCCACAACAGCCAGGGATGGGCCAGGCTGAAGCCAGGAGCCAGGAGCTTCTTCCAGGTCTCCCACATGGGTTCAGGAGCGCAAGCACTTGGACCATCTTCCACTGCTTTCCCAGGCACATTAGTAGGGAGCTGGATCAGAAGTGGAGCAGCCAGGACTCGAACTGGCACCCATAATGAGATGCCAGCATTACAGGGCATGTCTTTAACCAACTGTACCAGAGAGCCAGCCCTCTAGTTTGAATTTTTGAGGCACTCCCTACCGTTCTATAATGACTACACTAATTTACATGCCACTCAACAGTGTGGAAAGGTTCCCTTTTCTGTACACTTGTTACTTTGGGTCTCTTTGATAAATAACCATTCTAACAGGTCTGAGATGCTGTCTCACTGTGGTTTTAACCTGCATCTCCTTGATAATTAGTGGTGTTGAGCAGTTTTTGTGATACCTGTTGGCCACTTGTATGTCTTCTGTTGTGAAGTATCTACTCAGATCCTTTGCTTATTTTTCAAATCAGTTATCTGTTTGAGTTCCTTATGTTTTAAATATTAATCCCTTATCAAATAAATAGTTTTTAGATATTTTCTCCCATCCTGCAGGTTGTCTCTTTACCGTTTGCTGTGCCAAAGCTTTATAGTTCCGTCCAATCTTATTGGCCTATTTTCACTTCTGTTGCTTGTGTTTTAGGGATCATATACATAAAACTATTGCCCAAACCCATGTCTTGGAGCACGTACCCTGTGTTTTCCTCTTCAGAGTTTACAGTTTAGGGTCTTACATTTAAATTTTTAGTACATTTTGAGTTTCATTCTTCTGTATATGGATACTCAGTTTTCCCAGCACCATTTATTGTAGAGGCTGTCTTTGTGGTTTCTTAACACTTTTGTCAAAAATCAATTGTCCATAAATGCATGGATTCATTATTTCTGGATTCTATTCCATTGGTCAGTGGTTTTATGCCAGTGCCATGCTGTTTTGATTACTATATTTTTGTAGTAGATTTTGAAGTCAGGTAGTGTGTGAGGCCTCCAACCTCATTCTTTTGAGACAAGATTTCTTTTGGTCTTGAGAGTCTTTTGTAGTTCCAGGAGAATTTTAGGATTATTTTTTCAATTTCTGTGGAAAATGTCCTTGAGATTTTTTGATAGGAATTATATATA